CTCTCAGTGTTATCCAGTAATACTATAAATTCAAACTTAACTATCCAGAAATTACCCAGAATCATCATCTTGTGGTTTAGATTTATTCGACAAGTGGACGGCACATCACAAAAATTTAATCTCAACCACACAATCTCTTTCGGAATAAATTTAGGATAGTTAAGGTGGGGTTCATAGCAGTTTTCTTCTAAAAATATTAACTCCACATCTCATCTTCCTCAGCTAGAACTTTGATAGGCAACACCTCTTCATTTTGCTCAAAATTTCTTTTGGGCAAATTAATCGCAAGTCCTCTTTGAAAAGAGGTGTACTCTATTTAATTCCAAAACCTTTTAGATAGAACAAAGGTCCTACACCTTCTTTCTTCTCTGTATCTCTCTTTCTGATATCCGGTGATCGACGACCATGCCTTCCTTCTTCTCCTTTTCTTTCTGATATACAGTCTGATAGAAAGTGAAAATCCTATGTGATTTATGATTAGATCAAGATAACTAATTCCAAAAAACCCAATAAAACAAAACACTCAACCTAAAATCATCAAACACTTACGAGAGTGATTTTAGTTTGTTTGTTTTTGAGAATAAACAATAAATTGACACAAACGATTTTTTACGTGGAAAAAACCACAATTGGACACCTCCAACTGTGATTAAAAAAACCACGGGCGAAACTCCACTAATCAATCCACTACTGAAGTAAAAAGATTACAAAGATATCATACAAAGATTACCCAACTTAGTCAATCTGTCTTCGAATCTTCTGTAACTCTTTTTCACGACTTCATCTCGGAACTGATCAATCTTGAAGTTGATTCCACAACCTCACCCACATATAGAATCAAACACCTTTCGAAACTATATGCTAGAATCTTCGGAATCCACCGAAGAGAACTCTCTCTTGAATATAAAGAAACCAACTCCTTGATGTATGTATTTTAGATCCTGAGTGAAGAACTCTTCTCAAGACATCAAGAAAATACTCTCAAAAATCTCCCAAGAAGACTTTAAACTCAACCCTAGTTTGTTTTGATCAGATCTAGGAAAACGTGCCCAACAAAACAACGTTAGCAGCTTTAAATAAGAATCTGCAACCGCGATCTCCGCTCGAGCTCAACATAGCCCGCTCGAGCGGACTGAACAAAAACTGCATACGAAGAAACAGAGCTGCGCTCGAGCGTAGGAGTTTCCGCTCGAGCGTCAAATCACACCTTCCAGAATCTGTGCTTGCCCTGTCAAACTACTGTGACCTGCTAATCTACGCTCGAGCTCAAGAGTCTCCGCTCGAGCGGACAGTACAAAAACAGAAAAACACAGTTTTGAACCAACATAAGATTTTGTCTCCGGATTTGACAACACAGGGACCTAACAGTAATATTTGGATAGGTAAAATGCCTACTACCGTTGGAGATGCTCTTACTTCATATAGATTATAGGTAGGGAGCTAGGTGCACATTAGTTATGTTTAGTAGCAAATCTAAAAGTAAACCAATTCCTAAAACTTCATTTGGAATACTTGGTGACAAAAAAAAGGATTAATTACTTCATATTTCTCTTCATTTTATAGAGAGAAGGAGAAAAGAGTTTTAAAAATCAAATTTTGTCCCCAAAATGAAAAATATTTAGGAACTAATTTGTGTCCCCAAAATGAAGGGGGAACATTTAGGGACTAATTTTTTTTATCACAAGGATTGTCATTAAAAAATCTTTTCAAAACGTCAAAAAATAGACTTTTAGCATCAAAATTTTAAAAATGTTGTTAATAAATACACTTTAACAGAAAACAATTTGGTGCAAACGATGTTCACTTTTTCACACAAATTTTGGTCAAAAAATGATAGTAATGTATATTTTATTTCTCAACAATAAGACAATATATATAGATACAAGTTATATCCTGTAAATAAGGAAACAAACCTATTCTAAAGGAAACTAAATAAATCAGTTCTATTCTAAAGAAATCTAAACATATCTAGAATCAATTAATCTAAATCTTATATACAGCTCATGCACAGCTCACGTCAACAGTAATTCATCACTAAATGTTTAATTTCATCACTAAACATACAATAATGACACTTTTGACAACTTAAATATTTTGTTCTTAAAATATAATTTTATTCATAATTTTTTGTTTTTAAAATCTTAATTTGTTATAATGATTTCATGCTTGGAATTGTGTGACAAACAATTCGGTGATTTTTTTAAGGATTAACAATTTGGATTTTTATTGAAAAGACCCTAGCACTGTTTCATTGTTTTCCTTTTTCTTTTTTTTTTTCTTTTTTTTTATCAGCATTTTATAATGGATGAAAGCAAATAAAAAAGGGTATTGATAAAGCATACCTTTTCATTAAGCAAAAATTGTGCCTGGTTAGAAGAATTTCCTTCCGATGTCATCTTCTCCACTTTGGGGTAGAAGCTTATGAGCTTGGGTAGATTTTCAAGACACAAATATTCCAACTGACTGAAATGAATTACCTGACTTGAGAGTTCATCTTCATCTTTTTCTTCTTCAATTCCAACTATTGCTTCCATCATCTTGCAACCTATTATTTGTAGTTTTTGGAGTCGTAGAATTCCTCTTGCACAAGATAGGGAGAAGAGATATTTCGACTTACAATCTTGAATTGTTAATACGATTAAATTATTGAAGAATCCTAATGGATTTAGTCCAAAGCGTTCCGCCAAAGACCCCTCTTGTAAACCTTCTATTTTCAAGGAAACACCCCCAAATTTACACGGCTTTCCATGAAAAACATATTCCTTACCCATTGATATTTTAAATCTGATCAAGGTTTCAAAGTAGAAGTCCTTGGGCAATAGTATGACATTTGGTATGTGAATCTCTAAAGTGGTTAATTGCGTCAATTTCCCCAACTCATCAAGATCCACTTTGCTTCTTTCCTTCTTGTCTCTTGTGGCCTCCCATGGCTTAAAATCATCGAAAATGTACAATTCTTCCAGGTGAGACAAATTGGATATGACACCTTGTGGAATCTGTGTGAGCTTGTAACAATTTCCCAGATCTAACAACCGAAGATGGGTCAATTCTCTTATCTCTGATGGAAAAACATTGATATTAGAACCTCGAAGGTTAAGTATTTAAAGGTTATTATTTAGCTCCTGCTATGTCTCCCAACTCACAATCATTCAGACATAACATTCTAAGGTTAACCAAATTTGCAAGAGATAATGGAGGCAACACACAAATTCTATTCAATTCTAAAATTGTAAGTTTCTTCATTCCTCTGAAAAACCTATCTGGAACATTAAGCTTGAGGAAAGGATTGATATTCCATTTCAATAGTATGGTCAAGGTGTGGAGTTGTGGACATACCAGATCATCCGGAAGCTCAAGAGTGTTGTCGAACCTTAATGAGATTGCTGAGCAAGAATTGCATGTATCTTCCTTGGCCACTTTTTGACACCATACTTTTCGAATGGCATTATGCATTTTGACGAAGTTTTCATCTTTGCCTTCTAATAACAAACAAGCATCTTTGAGGTGATTGACAGCTGTAAGTACTCGATGGCTTGCTTCTCTTAGTGAATTTGTGTCTTGTCCAAGCAAACTTCTTGCTATGCAGTGTCTTGCCAAGACTTCAATAGAAATCTCATCATCTTCAGGAAAGAAACAACATAGCAAGAAGCATGATTTTACATCACGGGACTCTAACCAATTGTAGCTTAACTTTAAGGAAGCACACACATTTGGGTTGATTCCCGCAATATTCTTTTTTAACTGATCAAGTGCAGATTTCCAAACATGTTTTTCCTTATATTTCAATGCGGCTCCAACAGTAAGTATAATGATCGGCAAGCCTCCACACTCTTTACACACCAAACTGGCTATATCATGGAGTTCAGGAGAGTAAACAGAATTCCCCACTGTCTTCTTGAAGAGGGCCCATGCTTCTTTCTCAGATAATACTGGCATTGGAACATATCTATCAACATGCATCTTTTTCAACACACCTCAGATTCGAGTCGTTATCACAACTTTGTAACAATTGTTTCCATCAATGATAGGAATACCTATTGTCTTCAAGTTCAATTCCTGCCAAATATCATCCAATATAATGAGATTTTTCTTCCCATTGTTCAATCTATTCCACATTTCATTTCCTTTTTCCACTTCATTTCCCCTTTTTAGTTCCAGATTCAACGAATGAGCGAGTTGCCCTTGAATATTGCTCACATTTGCGTCCTGAGAGACAACTGCTGCCACGACTTCATCAAAAAGTCCATTTTGCACTTGTTTGCCAATCTCTTTGACCATCGCCGTCTTACCAACGCCTCCTGTTCCATATACTCCAATCATTTTAACATTGGAATCTTGTAATGCCGACATGATGTTATTGAAAACCGATTCTCGCGACTCAAAATTTGCGTAGTGCGTACTCATTTTCAATCCACTTTTTCTCTCTTTTTTTCCTTTGACCTTTTTTTTTGTTTGTTTTTTTAAAAACGAATATTGAAGAAAAAACTAGCTTGAGATTCGAATTTCAGACGATGAAGCTCCCTCAATCTGTGTCTACAGGTAAAACAAAAAGAGAGATATCAAAGAAGAGAAATTAAAAGTGAAGATAAAATTCTCTCTTTTGCCGATTAGGAAAATAAAAAACAAAAAAGAAATTAACATTAACTAAGTAGAAAAATAAAATGGATGGGATTGCTGTTGTGCTTAATCTATAGGAAAATAAAAATCGAAAAAGAAATTAACATTAACTAAGTAGAAAAATAAAATGGATGGGATTGCTGTTGTGCTTAATCTATAGGAAAATAAAAATCGAAAAAGAAATTAACATTAACTAAGTAGAAAAATAAAATGGATGGGATTGCTGTTGTGCTTAATCTATAGGAAAATAAAAATCGAAAAAGAAATTAACATTAACTAAGTAGAAAAATAAAATGGATAGGGTTATTGTTATACTTAATCTATTTTGATTATCCGAATTATTCATATTATAGGATGTATCAAACATATTATTCTTAACAAACAAACAAAAAAATAGGTTAATCGGATATCTATAATCTCATGATCAAGTCTTAATTATTTTTTAAAAAAATTATCAAAAAAATCACGCTAACCGTTTATTTTTTTAAAAAAACAAATGGTGTTGTTGTGAGGTTACAAATGTGTAATTAACTCTTTTTTTTTTTTTTTTTTTTTTTTTTTTTTTTTGGAGGATTTACACCACAAACATTAAAATATAGGTAAAATCTAATTATAATTCATTCAAATTTCAACCACTTTCACCCCTCCCCCCATTTCCAATCTCTAATTAAATTCATAATTTAAACATAACCTTAAAATATAGATGAATAATACTAAGGCCCTGTTTGGTGGAACTCCGCCGAATATTGTTTTCTATGACCATTTTTTAAAATGATTTTTAGTTTGTTTAAACAGAAGTCAAATCACTTCGTTTGTTTTTCAAAATCTATTTTCTGCATTTTTTTAAAACAAAATATAAGCTATTTTGATTGAAATAAATACCAAAAAATATTTGGCCCGAAAAAAAAAATATGAATCAAAGAACACTCAACATTTTCTAATCCTTTTTAATTGGGAAAATCTCTGTTTTGTTTAGTTTTTAAAAATTATCTTTAAGTTATATGTTTTTAATATTTTTCATTTTTAATGAATTTTTTAGATGCACCTAATGTAAATGTACTTAAAAAGAAAAATATTTTTTTAAAAAAATATTTAAAAAAATTCAATAAAGACAAAAAATAATACTAATAAATATTTTTTTTTTTTAGTAATGTTTTTAATTTTCTTCACAAATGTTTTACTATTTAGAAGCCTCTAGATTAGATGTATGTAAAAATTAATAAATATTCGACTAAATTTATAAATAAATAAAAAATATTAAAGTCAAAAAATGCAAAAAACAAAAATATTAAAAATTAATTTTGGAATTTTAAAACCAAACAACGTGTAAGTTATAAATATAATAATCACTACGGTTAGTAATGGCAAAATATAATAATATTTGATGGCAAAATTAAAATTTTAATAATAATCATTGAATTGAAAATTCACTCCTCGCCAAGTTGTTTCGAGAAGCCACTCTCCCCGACTTCGGCAACAAAATGGACTTTCAATAGATGCACTTATAGTAGAAATCCCTCTAAAAAAATCTCACCAAACAAAAATATATTTTCTAGGACTTACGCGCTTAAGAAGTCAAAATTTAAGGGTCGTTTGAAATAAATTTTTTTGGTTTGAATTTTTAATTTTTTGACTATTTTAATTTGTCCTAAAAAGTTTAATTTGGAATAAATTTTTGATTTTTTTTTTGTAATTTTGTGAGAGAGAAGATGAAATAATTATGATTTAAATGTAATATTTTATACTTTTTAACATATTTTGTCTTTTTGTAAGTTAATTTAGCCCCAACCAACATCCCAAGCGACCTCTTAGAAGTTCCACCAAATACTCTAATGTTATGTTTGGTTCATAGATTTTAGGAGAGATTTGAAGAAATAAAAAATAAAAAATAAAATAATGTGTATAAAATTAAGTGAAATATAAGTATATTTTATTTATATTTCACCTATCTTTTTTATTTTCCTTTCCAAAATTCTTCCCAAGTCCTTGAACCAAATACAGCCTAAGATTGTATTTGATTCATAGATTTGTGAGGTGATTTGAAAAAATGGTGTAAAATATAAATAAAATGTAATTATATTTTATTTATATTTGACCCTTTTTCTTTCTTTCTTTTTTTAATTCCAAATCTCTCTTTAAATTCATGAACCAAACAGTGTTTTATGTACATTGAGGCTCTTTTTACTAAAAACTCATTTTCCTTTTTTTAAATTCTGAGAATATGATAAACACCAGAGAAACACCTGAGGAGAGATGGTAAATTGTAAATACTACATAAAGCACATACACATAATTCACAAATATTTGTACGTTAATAATCATTAAAAAAAAATTTAGAATCTATTTAAGTGTAGGAAAAATTAGTGAAAAGCCTCTTTTTAAGAATTTGTTTACTCATAAATATTATGGAAATAAATGTCATCCGATAAATTCTATATACGTATGGAGAAATCCTTTTATTGAAATTAGATATTTTTTTATGACAATTTTTATAGCGACTAGAGTTAAAAGTCGACCTTTTTATATTCTTTGATCTGAAACCCGGTACTCTTTATTATTGTTTGGACTTCTTGGTGACTTGTTGTTAATTGAGATTAGTTATTTGGAGCTGTCGGTTGTGTTTTGAACAGGTTGGGAGTTAATTTTTCAAATGAGTTTCTTCTTGTTTTTCTTTAGGTTCACTCGAGCGTTCTCCATTCCTCTGTCATGCCATTCCTTGTTCCATCGGCTATATACTGTGTTGTTTTCAGATTTATTTGCATAAAAAGGTGGCTCAATCTAAGACAATAACAGTTTAAAAAATGAAATAATCCCAATGCAATTCAATTTTACAACAAATTGTTCTCCCTTGAAATTAATTGGCTCATTCATTCCATAACCACTCAACAACATTTGAAATTAAACCACCCTCAATGAGTTTGAATTTATTCACACACTTTTGAAATCTGTGAGCAAAACGCATTACTTAATTGGGGAACAGCAGTAAGATCTATGACAACAATAATATATGAACTATAATATTTATAGTTCCATGCCTTGTTGCATAACAACAATAATACATGAACTACAGATTTTATACTACCAAGTTACAAAAACTAGCCCAACTCGAAGATCAGTTCCAGGAAATGCACTTAAGATCTTCTTCTCACATTCATTGTAGAAGCCTGCCCTAAACTGATTATTATCAAGCTTCCACCTGGGATTATTTGCTATTACATCCTTCATGGTTGTAATGAGGAATACTTCCTCACGGTGATTCCAAAACCTTCGAGGTTTCCCCTTCTTACGAGAACTAGTGGTACCTGAGTCATCCATACCTATATATATGTATATCATAAGTTTAAATCATAACACACATGTCAATCGTAAATAACAAATCAACTTACACAACATTTGTTACAAATACCACACAAAAACTAAACAAATAAGGTTCGAATTACATGGCATAATAAAATCTCAGTATTACATAAAAATCATCATACAACACTAATTTATTGACCTCTGCTTGCTTGCCATTCATTAAACATTTGGGTTGCCAAGGCAGTTCTCCATTCACTCCATTGATCAGATGCTTCAACAACATCAATCGTTTCATCTCCTAATTCAGTAGCTGGAGGAGGAGGATTCATTTCCTCGTTCTCATCATCATCAAGATCCATAGGCATTTCACGTTGTATGAGATTGTGGAGAAGGCAACATGCAGTGATAATACGAAATTGAGTCTTGATTGGAAAGTAAGAATAAGTCCTCAATATTGCCCATCTCATTTTCAGTAGTCCAAAACACCTCTCAATGACGTTACGAGCAGAAGAGTGCCTCATGTTAAAAAACTCTTGTGGAGTTATTGGGGCACCCCCTTCTCTCCATGTGGAAAGATGGTAACGTTGTCCTCTATATGGTGCAAGAAAACCCTCCCCATTTGTGTAACCCGCATCTACGAGATAGTAGTGGCCTGCAATTATGTAAGATGGATTCACCATGCATATAACAAAATAATTGTTTAATATAGATATAGTGTACCCATAATTAGAACAATATATAATTATCATACCAGTAGGGACTTTTAACCCATTGGGTCTACTGACAGCATCTCTAAGTACCCTAGAGTCAGAAGCAGATCCTTCCCATCCAGGCAAGACATATATGAATTGCATGTCTTGGGAGCACACACCCAATACATTTGTGGCAATTTCTCCCTTTCTTGTTCTATACCTTGGTTTGTCTATTGCAGGGGCAAGAACCTTAACATAGGTTCCATCTAAAGCACCAAGACAATTCTAAAAAAAAAAAAAAATTATAAAATTAATATAGGTAATACAAAAATATAATATGCTCATTAAGCGAAATTGTAAATATATTGTACCTGAAAACAACTCCACCTATCATCTGTACAATTAGCAGTTACCGGTTCAGGCTTTTTAAGGAGGAGACCATGGAGGCGCAACACAGCCTTCAGAACATTATTGAAGTGCTTACTAACTGTTTGACCACTCCGCATGAAATTAAATTTAATTTTGCGGTTCTTAGTGTGATGTGCAAGCACATTCAAAAACATTGCTACTTGCTCCTCCAAAACGACATACTTTGAATCAGATAATCCAACACTTCGCACCAACCCACATAAAAGCATGAAAGTACGCCTATTCATTCGAAGTTGGTCATGACAATTTATGTCACTATCATTGACCAACCTATTCAAATGGTCAATTTGTTTTCCATAGGGGTGAGGTGATCTAGGTAGTTGCAACCTAATTTCTTTCTTCTTGAATGCAGCATGTAAAATCACTATATACATAGCACATGCATAATTAATGGATGAAACAATATGTTGGAGGGCTACAAATTCTTCTATAAGGTCCTTTCTCCTTTTCTTAGTGGCATAATTATTATCCAATCTACAAAAAATGAATAAACAATAAACGGCTAAAATCAGCACAGAAAGTAAAACAAATAATAGATAATAGTATTAATTAGCAAGTAGAGCATTGTTCAAATTTTTCCATCCCACATGTTAACAATGTGAAAGTAGTATTAATTTCCCATAAAAAAGAAATGGAAAAGATCATAAAAAAATAAAAGAATATAAAGAAAAAACAAATAATTTGGTGCCACACAAAATTAGCACTACATTGATGCACAAAGACATCAAAGAAAATGAAAGATATTTATTTTCAATGGAAACCCAACCTATTTATGTGTAAGCAGTGATAAACCTATTTATGTCTAACACAATATTTTACCACATTATTTATGTGTAAGCAGTGATAAACATTATGGTACTATCCAAGTAATGAGTGATAATGAAAAAGTGAATAAAAAATAAAAAAGAAAATGTTGTAATAAGTCTCTGCACATAGACTTTTAAAGATGACAACTTATGCACTTATTTGTAAGAAAATGGCAGCAAAGAAAGGCTTCAACCTATCATACATTTTACGTAAAGGCTGATAGGATATTTGGTTTGTCATTGCTCACTGCCTCTTTGGAGTATTCAAAATGCTCTCGACATGTTTTCAAATTTATAGGTGTATTGTGTTCCCTTTTCTTTAAAAAAATTCTGCTTTATCTAGACATCCATATTATGTTCATAGCCAAAAATAATATATGTTTAGCACGTGCACACAAACTGGTAGAAAAACTACGATTTCTAACCAAAAATAATAATAATAACCATAGCCAAATTTTGAAAGTGGAGTAAAAGCTTAATATGTAAAAGCTTAATATGTTAACCATCCTATGAAACTAGGGTCAAGCATATGTATGAACTTCAGTACTTAAACAAATGAAACCCTTAGCCTTCAACCCACAAGTCTCCAGCAACCAGTCTGCTTTCTTGGTATGTTCTTCACATCCTACCACTTGACTTGCCAAACTATAAAACTCATGTCCTCATAAACAAAACCCTTATCTACAATGCTTTTGCTTAAGAGACAAGCAATGCTTCCATAGTCTTTGATGGCAGAGGTTAAAAAAGAAACATTGTTTCCCAAACTTTTTAAGGCTTCCTCGATTAGGATCTTTTTAGCATTAAATATATTCTTTTTAGCTTCATACATAATCTCTCCAATTGGCAATACATAACCCAAATCAATCAATACTGAAGAAAAGTTGTGGTAATTGAGCAAAACACAAGGATTTTGCACATATAATAAATCCCAAAACTAAGATCTTGAAAATTTGACTGATTGGAAGATTCAAGATCAATTTTTTAATTTGACTTCTATAACAAATTTCCAACTTGAAAAGCAATTGAAACTAGGTCAATGATGAAATTATTATGGTTGTCATAGTTAACATGACAAACTACAACTTGAAAAGTAGCTAAAATAGATCTAATTTGGACATATTGCCATTTCAAATTATCAAAATTTCCTTTTGCAATAATTGATTGCAGGAAAGTGAAATTTTCTTAGAAGAGATTTTTATATCAGATCTTTCTGTCATATTTATCAAGACGTTTCTAAACAAACACAACTCTCATACTCTCTCACCTGAGCATCTAATTTGGCCCTCTTTGCCTTTGCTTTTACAAAATTGTTCGTAAAACTCAAAACCCAATTTGGCATATACCCAAGCATGCAAGTATCTATTATACAGAGCATAGAAAAGCCACAGATGAATGCAAGTTTAGATCCAAGCAACGATGAACTAAATCGAACTAAATAAAAGAAATAAATTAATTAATTAATTAAACTGAGAACAAGATTGAAACACCAAACACCAACAAGATTAATTAATTAAACTGAGAATAGAAAATCTGAAGATTAATTAAACACCAACAAGATTAATAAATTAATTAGCTTTTCTCACCTGCAACACCAACAAGATTGAAAATCTGAAGAAGAAGAAGAGCTTTTGGAGAGAGCTTGCTGTACGAGATTGGGAATCTGAAGAAGAAGAAGAGCTTCTGTTGCCTCTTCCTTTTGCTGCTGCTACTCTGATGAGTTAGTGCTAGGGCAACATGGGTAAAGAAGTAATCACACTCCTTAATACCAACGGACTAGCTTTGAATACCAACATCAGGGGCAGACTGTGAATCCTCTCTGCAAGGCCTTTATGAAGCCGTTCTGCTTATCAATCCGTCCCTCATCTCTATAAACAAACAGGGTATTAAGTGGGACCCACAGTCAACCTAATCCCAATCCCCCTCTAATCCCCCAAAACAAACGGGGCCTAAGTTCCTAAGTCCAAATTCACAAGTTCTCTAGCAATGTCAATAATTTGAGCTCAACTTCTCTTCTTTCTCTCTCTCTCATGTTGGTTGTGTGTGTGTGAGCTCAAAATGTGTTGACATGAGGAAAAATAGTGAGTAGGAATCCACAAGAAGCCTTATACAGGCTTGTCTAATGGTAGATAATTAAGACTAATCAAATGAGCTATTAAATTAATCTAATTTAATTGTTCTGAACCGAATTTCAATTGGACCTACCATAAAATTCTAAAAATTCTAAATAACACGCAAATCAAGTCAATTTCTGAATCGGATGCCGATAAGGTCTTCAATTCGCAAACTGAATAAAAACATGAACAAATCTTTCTAGGTTAAATAGAGCAACACATGGTATAATTTTTCACGTTAATTTCTTTTTAGGTATAATTAAGCATGGATTAACGTTAATTGTGGGTCGGGGTTGTTACAACCCATGTCTCTATCATCCCTATTTTCTTACTCTCCCGCTGCATCTTCATTCTCTCTCTCTCTCTTGGAAAAGAAAAGAGAAAAAATGTATGAAATTAGATAAAATGTAAGTATATTTTATTCATATTTCACTTACATTTTCTATTTTTTTCTTCTAAATCCTTTCTCAAATCTCCAAATCAAATTTGGTGAGAAAAGAAAATAATCACAACAACTATTTGTTTGGACAATTAATAAGGAGAAAATTTATCCATAGAAAATTATGTTTCAATTTGGTAATGGATTTTTCTTTTATATTAAAATAGTTAATAAAGATAAAATAAATTAAATAATTAATAAAATAAAATGTCACATTTAAATCATAATAATTTTAATTTTTTTCTTACAATTATCAAATTAACTACAAAAAGCAAAGTCAAATAACTTCTCAAACACAATTTTTATAGCCAGGTTAAAATAGATAAAAAAATAAAAAAAATCAACTAAAATAGTTAACTTCCCAAATGAACTCTACGTATACAAAAACTTCATATTTTTTTGTAGACTATTTCAAGGAACACTATGAGATCTTTTCACTATTTTCTTAGATATTTCAATTTTTAAATATGGATATGTTTTATTTGTAGACCATTATCTTATTAAAATTTTGCTAAATGCGTTATTTTTAAATGAGATAATGTGATATCATTCTAATGCATGTACTGAATAATAGTGAGAAACAAAATTCACAAAAAAATTAAGTTTTATTTCTTATCAAAAATTAGATATTTTTTTATGACAATTTTTATAGCGACTAGAGTTAAAAGTCGACCTTTTTATATTCTTTGATCTGAAACCCGGTACTCTTTATTATTGTTTGGACTTCTTGGTGACTTGTTGTTAATTGAGATTAGTTATTTGGAGCTGTCGGTTGTGTTTTGAACAGGTTGGGAGTTAATTTTTCAAATGAGTTTCTTCTTGTTTTTCTTTAGGTTCACTCGAGCGATCTTTCCTTTGCTCGCTTAAACGGTCTTTGCTTCTTCTTAATGCCTGTGTTTGCAATCTGAATGTCTAGGAGTGAGACGTTCTTCACTCGAGCCATGGGTTGGTCGCCCGAGCAGTATTCTGTGTCTGACGCTCGAGCAGTCATTTTTTCAGTCGTGCGATCTCTTTGCAGGTCTGAACTACTAGAAGAAGGTCATTATGCATTCAAGCCATGACTTGGTCGCTCGAGCAGTTCTTTGGGTCTGACATTCGAGCAATCTGTGCATATATCAGTACAGGGAAAAGATCTTCTCTATCACTTTTTGATATTTCTCTCTTTAAATGGTAACTTTACCAAATTTATTCACTCTTTCACTAGTTCTTGTCTAAACACCCATATACACTTAAATCTGTTGGTCTCGCCGCCGTAGTGCTTTGGAGAAAAGTGTAGAGCTAGTAGAGGTGAATATTCTAATTGAAAAAGTTTTCATTTTCGGCTTTGTGAAACTTTGAGCCTTGTTCTTCTCTCCTTCTACTCTTAAGGTAGGGATTTCTTCAACCTCTTTGTATGATTCTTAGTCTCGTTATGTGTTTCTTGAAAAATGTAGTGATTTAGAAGTAGTGGGTGTGATTTAGGGTTTGATTTTGGGAATTGTACGAGCATGAAATAATGTTCTCGTATAATCCTATTGATCAAGTCTACGCTCCTCCGTACGTCGTCGCTTTACTCCCTGAAAACACAAACATGAGCTAGCCGGCGGGTGTGTGCCGGATACCTCTCTGATGCCTAAGTCAGTAGAATAGACAAATAGACAAAAGCTCTGTGAATTCGGGAATCAAAGTTGTGTTACCTCTCCATAGGTGATGCTATGAGCTTTTATAGGTTCCGCGTGCCACAATCCAAATAAGACTCTTACTCCTGCATGTAGAGTACTCCTAAGAATCACATTCCTGAAAGATAATGCTTATCCTTCAACACCCCCCTCACTGCTTAAACCAAGTGAGATGGTTCTACCACGGTTTGATGTCAATACGATCGAGATAATATGGCCATACTAAAGCCTCAGACTAGACCGAGCTCCCACTAGCTCGGTTCTTCCTTTCACTACGTGTACCTCGGTTTGACATATTCCAACTGGGTTGTCTGAGACCGCACTAACCACAACGAGCTTGGACCGAGCTAACAAATAGCAAGGTTCTGAGGAAAGCTCAACATACTTCGGCTCAATATGGTATGACCGAGCTAACTGTTACCGCGCTAAGTGTGGTGACCGAGCTAACTGCAGAGTTTTCTTGGACCGGGCTAACTTCTAGGCCCTTTCTCTCGGCCTCTCTTACTATGGCCCACATATCAGCCCGTCACCCAGCTCAGCCTAATTTATATATAAATTACCCTATCAATTGCCCCTTAATTCCATCTGCGCAGCATGATAGGGATTACCTTTTACCAACCGAGCTAAAAATTTTAGCCTTTCAACTGAGCTAAATTCAGACCAGGCTACTACTCTGTCCGGTCAAAACGTCTTTTCAGTCGCTGCAACTGCACCGCTTCCCATTCTATGGACACACGTCACAAACTTTCACTGGCCCTGTGTAGTTGTCACGCCGTCTTCGTACTTTGAAACATTCTGAACAGTCCCGCCTTTTTACTCTCTTTACACAAAAC